CATGATGTACCACCTTGCTCAAGGCACCAGGGCCAACCAGTCAAAGACTGATCTCCAAACTGTGAGCCCAAACCAACCTTTCTCTTTATAAGCTGATTTGCTTCAGTGTTTGGTACAGTAACAGAAAGCTGACTAGCATGGTGAGTGTGATAGAGTGCTGGAAGCCTAGGCATATGGACGTGATGCTACAGGATTCCTTAGCCAGCACCTGGCACTATTAAGCCTTCTACTGGGATAGCTTGAGTGTCCATGTCCTCTACTTGGTGTAGATTACCACCCATTTATACTCATGTCACCGGGTCACCCGCCAAGCCTCCCAATGTCTTGGCTCACACTCCTAAGGTCTTTTTCACACCCAACTACAGGGCAAAAGGAGGCCTGGTTAGTGCAGCAGAGGTTCCTCAATGTCCTGGTGACAAGGTCAAACTCAGGGGCCAGCCCTATTACCAACAGGGCCAGGTCACTGGGATACACTCAACCAAGGCCTACTGAATGAATGAGGTCAGGGGTGTTTATGGCACAGTGCATACTGGTGACATCACAATGCAGAACCCTGCCCAAGAGATGCCTTGAGAATAAGCACTGTCAAATAGCTGGGATTCACTAGAACCATTTAACTGGATGTCATTTGAAATTCCTAAAGTTTTTTTTTTTTAATTAAAAAAAAATTTTGGGATAGTGTTCTGCTATGTACACTAGGCTGGATCCAAACTCATGGTCCTCCTGCCTCAGTCTGAGGAGGGCTAGGATTAACCACCACCCTGTGCTCTGAAAGGTTTCAGTATGCTGATGGTGTGACAATTTTGATGGAGATAAGACTTTTTAAACTATCTAAACCTGCCTAATATGTATGGTCAGCACCACATGGCCAAGCATCAGTGTGGCCCACAACCCAAGTCCTACACTAGAGAGAGTTGTCAATGGGCAGTGAGGGGTATGGGACAGACATGTCCTGGGGCAGCTACTTAGCAGATTTAAGCTTTGATAACAATTGCTGTCTTCTTGGCCTCTGGCATCCCTATGAAGGCTGAGAAAGGCTGTCTAGCTCATAAGAGGCTGTCGTGGTTTGGACATGTATCCCAAAGGCTCATATGTGAAAGATGTGGTCCCCTGCTGGTAGGCTTTGGGGAGATGATTGGGTCCTGAAGGCTCTGACTTAACCAATGGATTGATCCCTTGATGGATTCATAATATGGTGGTCTCATTGGGAAGGTGGGAAGACCTTGTGGTGGGAAGTAGGGGATGGGGCCTGATGGAGGAAGTGGGTCACTGGGTCCTAGTTAGATCTTGCCTCCAGATCCTTTCTAGCTATCTCTCTGCTTCCTGACTATCAGGGTGTGAGCAGCTTTCCTTTGCCACACCCTTCCACCATGATGTTCTCAGACCTATATAACCATGGAACAAGCTGACCATGGACCAAAACCTCCAAAGTCATGAGTCAAAGTTTCCTCAAGTTTCTCTCAGGCACTTTGCTACACCGATGAAGTCTAACACAGGGACAATGACCGTTTCCAGAGGGGACAGCACCCTTAGACTGAACTCCCCCTCCCAAAACTCCTGGGAGGGGCTGCCCGAGAACACTGGGGTTACCTTATCTCAAGTGTGTAGGGTGGGATGCAAGATGGGAACCTGTGTCTGAACTTCCTGCCTGAGTTCATCAGACCCCAGAAGCAGGGGCAGGAAGGTAACTGGGCCAGAGAGGCTAGAAGTCCTTACAGTGTTGAATGAGGGGGCTGGATTTGGTGCTGTTGAGGTTCAGCCCAGGGACTCTGCAAATCTCCAAATTCAAGTCTTTTCCTTTGGTTGGAAAAGTTTTTAAACAATGACCATGATCCCGGAAGAACTGGACAGCTTCTATAAAATCAGTTGTTGGAAATTCCCATAAAGCCAAACCTGCAGGCAGGCTACTTTCCCTTCCCCTAAAGTCTAAAAGAGAAAGATGCAAATTCATGCATGCAACAGGCCAAATGCCCAGTTCTCCCGGAAGTTCCACACCCTCTAGGAGGCTGGACATGCCTGAAAAAGGGACTTGGCTGCTGCCTGCTTCCCAGTGCAGATATGCAAACATTTCTTGATCATCTCCCCACAGATTTGCTGGGGGCTGGTTACGAAGTTCGGCTGTTGGTCTGGCCCAGTTCAGGCCTGCAATAAAGGTCATTTATTCATTCACTGGTTCAAACTCAAGGCCTTCTTCTGTGCCAGACACTGTGCTGAGCTCAGATGGAGAAATGCCTAAGTCCCAGCCTTGTTCTTTGGGACCTCACAGTTGACTGGGGGGGAAAGTCAGTAGGGAAATGTTATAGGCATGCCCTGTGGACACAGGATAGTGGGGTTCTCGAGATTATACCAAAAACCATAGAACTGACGCCAGACAGGCCCTCATCAATGGATGAGGATCTTGTGGATGTGACTAAGAAGGCGTAAGCTATGCAAAGGTAAATACAAATTGCAGAGGATGGTTTCAAAGAGAACAAATTAGGCGAAGGCCTGGTAGTGATTAGGCATAAAGGTCCCTTTCCTATTCCTGTGACTAACTCATAAGAGAGAGGTTTAGATCACATTTTGGAGTTGCTCACACAAACAGCTTGGCAGCTGCTGTGACAAGAGCCCTGGATGCATCTTCTGGTGGTGGATGTCATCATGGTGGGAATGTGAGAGACAGGGACAGACTCCCTGTGAGCCAGGAAGCCAGAGAGTGGGAGAGGCTATTCTTACCTTATTTATCTATTTATTTAGTGGTGCAGGGGTTGGAATCCAGGGCGTTGCACATACTTGGCGAGTACTCTACCACTCAGCTACATCCTCAGCCTACTCGTTCTTTCTATAGCAACTTGCTCTTGTAAGGACAGCCAGGGTCCCATGAGACCTACCTGAATCTCTTCTGATGGGAACATATGAAGCAAGACTTAAGACCTCCCAGTAGGCCTCTTAAGGCCTCATAGCCTCTCACACAGGGTCCAGGTTTCCAACTCATGAACACAGACCACATCCAGACCATGGTACTGGGCATGGCCAGAGTCTGCAGCAGCTCCTATTACTGGAGAGCTATGATTGACAGGTGAGGGTGTAGCACAGTGACCAATCAGAGAGAATTGTGTGTCCCAGATAGCTCAGAAAGATGAGACTGAAGGGGTCCCATTAGTTCAGCCACTATCCTGGTACTCTTACTGGCTCCCAGGCCATTTGAAAAACCACCTATTTTTTTTTTCCATTTTGATGTATAGAGGAACAGTTATTTAGACTGAGGACTGAACATCTGGTATATAGTTGGTGCCCAGTCAGTGGCGACCTTGGCCCCTCGGCCTCCATTCCCAAGAACAGTCATCTTTGTCTCACGACAGATGGCCAGTCCCTGCCACTCACATCCAACCTCACAGTTTCAAGTTCTTGGCTGCCCGGCTCACGATGGGGATGAAGGCCACTTTCTCAACACTTTGTTTTGTGAAGAAAACGATCTTGGCTCAACTTCAGCCCATAGCAATGAGAGAAAAATGAAATGTGATGCTTGCAGATGGGCAAAATGAGGTGAAGCCAGGCTACCACTGCCCTGGCTCTACAGGAGGTAGAAACAGACCTGTCCTCGGAGGCCGAAGTGACAGTGTGCATAGGAATCAAAGCAGGGACAAGGGGATCCTATATCGGTGACACCACTGAGCCTACAAGGCCTTGGGCTGATGCTCTGCCCTGCGGTGTGTGTGTGTGTGTGTGTGTTGGGTGGGGGGAGTGTCTCACTTCTCCTTCAGGCATGTTTCACCCCGGAGACACAGGCCTCCTCATGGTGGGACTTCCTTCTGGGTTTGCTGGGCTTCCCATCACCATGACCTATGTGTGTTTGCGTGCTCAGAGAGCTCTACCCACTTTCTCTCATGGTATTCTATTGAAAGCTATTTTCTGGAAGGCCTTAGGTGTCCAGAAAGGGACAGAAGCTGAACAGGGAGCAAGATGCTGGAGCTGATACCCCTAAGTAATTCCTCATTTGTAGACAAACTCCCAGATTCAGCGCCTCCTTCTGCTGGCTGACCAAGAAAGGACTTCTGAAGGCACCAGAGATGTGGTCCTCAAAGAGTTAAAAGACAGAGTGGCCCAGAAGGAAAGCCAGGAAGGCTGTCTCCTGTATCCCAGGCTGGCAGAGGGTGACTGAACTTTTGATCCACCTGCCTCCACCTCCAGAGAACTGGGATTACAGGTGTGCACCACTACAGCTCCTGGAGTCAAATCTAGGGCTTCCAGCATGCTAGGCCAGCAGGATACCAACTGAGCTACAGCCCCAACCTGTCCTTACCGCTTCAATAAAACCCCAGGTCTCTTAGGCTTTCCGTGGCCAAGACTCACAGGCACCCATTCCTAGGAGGGGGCTGTTTCTCCTGCCTGCTGGACAGAACCCGAAGTTGCCTCCTGTCTAACCCAAGGACAGAGCTCCTCGCTTCCAAGCTCCCCGCCCTTCCTCGGAAACTCCATCTCCAACACCACTTCGCCCCTCATCCTGGCCTTGCCACTTTCCCAGGGGATCAGGGATGGATAGGGCTTGGAGGTGGGGGCTTTACCGGGGAGGGGATTCTGGCATGGGAGGGGGGCGTTCCTACCGCGACGGGAACGGTCTCCAGGGGGCAGGGATGGAGAAAGGGCAGACCTCCAGGCCTAGCTCCTGGGGCATCCTGACTTGCGTCACCAGGCCCACCACAAACCGAGACATCACAATCTCGGGGCTGCGACCCTCTGTGTCTCATCACCGTCCGTTCGCGACCAAACAATCCAACCAACACCCACCCTGGGGCGGGGGTGGGGGAGAAAAAA